CTGATGTACTTCGTTCAGTTGCATTATTGCCCCTAATGTTTCCCAGCCACGTTTTAAAGCGTTTACACATTTTTAATAGCTTCCAGCCTATTCCTCAGTTCCTGATCGGTGAAAAGAAGATTATTTATAAGAATTATACTTATTCTTCTATTTTTAATAAATAAAAAAAAAAAAAAAAAAAATAAAAACACAAAAATAGTAAAGAAATATTTAGAAAAAGGAATCGAAAACGTCAATGTCAGCCAAGTGTCAGAGTTCGATTAGATTTACTACAGATTTTCAATTTGAACGATTTGATCTACAGTCGATTCCAGTCCTCTGATTCCAGTCTAGAGATTTCGTTTTTTAAGCCTCCAATACTGAAGTCCGCCATATTGGGAGTTTTAAATGAATACAAATATACCTATCTGGCTCAGATTTTAAATAAAAAGCTTTGATTTTTCAATAAAACTGTAGTAATATGGCTGATGTCACAATGATGGTAATTTTTTAGTGACGTACCGACCTTTGTAGCTATTTTTAAAATTGACATTAGTTTGGACTTTGTTAAATTTATATATAACTAATATTTATTTTTATTCAGTTTACCTACAACAGGTTAATAAGTTATTTATTATTTTATCAAGAAAAATGAAGCAGTATATGCTTCAGGCTTGTTGGCCTGAAGGGTTTATGCTCATAGATATCCAAATGGGAATTTTCTTGACAAGCGTTTCTTTGAAAAACCTTACCTTTCCTATTTCGCAGAGCTGATGGTGTGGTATATGAAAAACCTAATAAAAAACAAAAAAAAAAAAAAAAAAAAAAAAATAATTTTACCTTAATTTGGTTCTTTTTATAGAAATCCAAATATATCTACGAGTCATCATAATATAAATCAAAAGAACACTTCTTTATATTTCTTGATAAAATGTAAAATAAAATGTCAAATGCAGAATTGTTATTAATTTAAATAAAGGTCATAAACTAATGTCGGTTGCAAAAGTAGCTAATAACTAATCACTAACTTTAATTGCCATGGCATCTTAATTGCCAAAATTTTATTGAAAGAGTCGTTTTCTATTCAAAATCTGAGCCAAATAGGTATAGAGCTAATATAGTTTGAAGAGCATTTAAATCTGCTTCAAAACATTACATAAAAAATATACTAGTCTTGTATTTGACATAACAGAAGTTTTAATGTAAAAAATATTTAAAAATGAACCAGCAATTTTTGATAAACCTATACAGAACTTTATGCATTTAAAGTGGAAACAATACAATTTTTTGATGAAATTTTTATTTCCTCTGGCTTCAAAGTCTTAGCACAAGAATTAACTCCAAAAAGTAATGATAATTAAAAAAAAAAAAAAAAAAAAAAAAAAACTTTTTTATTATAAAATGCATATTTATATAAAACATCTTTTAAGAGTATCTACTTTTCATCTACAATACGGATGCATAGTACCGTATGATCGAAAAAACAGCGTCAGTTGGCTTGGAAATGACGATCGGTGACCATTTCTATAATTTTATACTCCAAAATGGCAGTCTTTCATTTCCGCCATATCCTTTGACGCCGTTGCACATTCGATCATACAATGCCTAATCAGATATCTTTAATCCCTAACTTCTTCATTTTAGCGGTAAAATACCCAAGCCAGTTTACTTAAAACATTACATGCCGAACTTTGCTACCTTTTTGGACCAATGAAATGGACTCTTATTTTATTCATTTAAAGATTCCACCCATTATAAATTAGAATTAAATCTAAGAGAACGTTAATTAAATAGAATATCTAATTGTGTCCAAAAACCCGAAGAGCTACTATACTCTGCCGTCAAATAAAAGCTAAGACGAGAAAAAAATAACAATCGCCCACAGAGCTAATTTTTCTTGTGTTTTTTAATTAAATCGGATTTTTCCTAATTAGCGCCGTCTTTGTGTCTAGAGGTGGAGTTTAAACTGTAATTAAAACAAACGAGAATAAGGAAAAGGAAATAATTCAGCGCTAAGGATGCTGTAGAACAGTTATTCCGGAATAGTTTCTTGTTAAATGAATGTCTTTGAATAATTCACACAATCATCGTTTTATTTTTGTTGGCTATCTTTTAATTCTAACCTAAATTGTGGATTGTATGGAAGGGGGAGTTTAATCACCGGCATCACCGCGATCTTATTGTGTCCCCTTTCTTGAGTTATAACTCAACTATCCTTAAAGTCCCAGGGCTTTGATAAAACAGCATACAGGACGGTTTTTACAGAGGTTAGTTCTCCATCTCCGATATCTGCCGTACTAAAGTTTACCCAAGTAGCATTTTAGACACAAAATCGCAGAAACAAAATCTCTGCTGCTGAGAAATATTCGATACATACGTTTTGTAACATAAATCGCTTTTTGTTTCGAAACATTTTACTATGGAGTGTAGAGGTAAGGAGAAATAACTCTTATGGGACTTTTATTGAAAAAGTGGTCACAAAATGGGAAGAATAAAGGTTCACTAAATAACCACAGTGGCGCTAAAAACGCATGATTCTAAAAAATGATAAGTAACCATAGATAAGAGAATAAAAATAAATATAACCAAACATTACCCAAAAAAAAAAATTTTGTTTTTATTTTTCCAGACAGAGTTTTTGAATATAAAATAATTATTGTTCATCAATATTTTATTATTTATTATTTAACAATGGTTAAAGTGTGTGTGGTACGAAGTTGATTGAATAGCTGATGGAAAAATAAAGACCAAAGCCAAAGCCTACATTATGTAAAATACATAATATAATTCAGTATTGTATTATTTGTATTATGTAAAAATTAGAGTCAATCAAAAGTGTAGTAAACATTTTTTTTTTTTTTTTTTAAGATCTTTATTAAAAGTAAGGTTTTATATTTTTACAATCCTTTTTATAAAGTTACAACCTAAATAAAATTTATTTTAATGATTTTAAAGTTTGACAGACATGCACAAATTGTTGGCATTTTTTAAACAAGTAAAAGTAGGAAGTACATAAAATTGTAGGTACTTTCAAAAAATATAGTTAACTGTAAGTGCTGTATTTTAATAATCTATCAAAATCAAATCATCAGGATAATATTAGGTATTGATTTTCAGACAAGAATTAGATTACAGTGATGGTCAAAAGCATTTAGATATTGCTTTGAAATCTACAGATAAGATATGGCAGTTTCATTTTAAAGAACAAGATGTTAAAGTTTGTGATAAAATTGTCATCAGAAATACTGTCCACTTCAGTATTTATATAGGAAAATATTGGAGGATGAAGCTCTACCTACTGCCTCAGGTTAATTTAAATTCTGAATTGCAACAACAGCAACAAGCAAGAAGGGCACCATTAAATGAATATTATACACATCGTATGATCAAATAAAAAACGGCGTCAGTTGGCTTGGAAAATGAAAATCGATGGTATTTGCTATATTTACGCATATAAAATGACAGCGATCTTCATTTCGCCATCGCTGACGCCGTTTTGTCTCTGAGATATACAGAAAGAGTAATGTTATACACATAAATATTAACATTTTGCAGAGCAACAACACAATAAAAAAAACAAAATATGAACACCAGCAACTAAAACAGGAACCATTAAATGAATATTACACACGTAAGTACAATTTGATCGAATAAAATCGGCGTCAGCGATGCCTATGAAATGAAGATTGCGCAATGTTTATATGTAAAATGATATGGAGAATGTCATCGAGATGTTCATTTCCAAGCCAACTGGACGCCGTGTTTTTCGATCATACAGTATTATTATACATAAATAATAATATTATATACACATAAACATCCCTTGATAAAGATCAACATTTTGTAGAGCAATAACAGCATCAAATAATGGAAAATAATGGACCCTACTGCTCAAATCAAAACAAAATTTCAGCATTACCACTTTATTGGTTATATCAATAAAAAGAAATTATTGAGTTTATGAGTCTAGATCCTACAAACAAGCAGATCTATCACATAATATTAAATGAAGATTTATCTATTATAGTATGTATAAACACTTTGCATCTTTTATTCAATGTTGTAATGAATTAACAAATTGCAGGTAATTTATTCTAATAACGAAAAAGAAACTTTTGGATCAAAAAATATTTTCTTCTGATAAGGGTTTATATGAATATTAATTTGGCCATTATGTGTTGATATTTGGTATACAATTTATTTATGATGTTACAGTGTTAAACCATCCGAGTACAAAACATGTTTAAAACCCACTATTCATAATGAATGGCAACTACCAACTTGAGAGGAAGCTAAGAGGAAGGTTCTATTGGGTGGACTGCAAGGAAAAGGGACATATACATGAGGATCTGGAAGGGCATTACGTCTCAAGCCATGGAACAATAGGAAACGAAATTCAAAAATATTACGGCGTGGGATGCAAATTATAGTGCAAAATTGAAAAAGAATTATTAAAAAAGTAGTTATAGTTATATGATAGTTAAACCATCCGACTACCAAATATAATTTAAAATCCACTATTCTGAATGAATAGCAACTACCAACTTGGGAGGAAGCTGCGAGAACGATTCTATTGGGTGAACTACAAGGAAGACATGAGCATCTGGAAGGGCTATAAATTATATTATTATTTCACGTCCCAAGCCATGTTGGAATAGCTGGGAGTAAAAAAGAAGATAATACTGCACACGATTCTTGTCTAGAAGTAGTTGATATTAAGGCAGTTAAGCCATCTGACTATCGAACATTTAAAATTCACTATTCTGAATGAATGGCAACTACGATGGCAAAACGTAAATAAATACTTGTACAGTATAAAATTATATTATATTGGCTTAATTTTTATACTAAATAAAATGTGTTACGTTATTTTTGACCTGCATTATATTTATTTAAAATCCCATATCATCAATTAAACTTTTAATAAAGTTTTCCTAATTATAATTAACATTAATTTTAAACTAAAAGCTTTTTCATCTTGAATGAGATTTACGAAATAACTTATGAGAAACAATAAAAAGAGGCTCTGATATCTGAATAATCGATAATAAAACCACATATTGACTTTTTTATACTAAAATCAATGTGAATCAATGTAGGTATGAAGTTATTTTAAAGCTGCATTATATTTATTTTAAACCTATCTGTAATTATTATTTAAATAAAATTTGTCTTAATTATAAATTACCACCATTAATTTTAAGCTAAAACGATAAGAATATTTTTTCGTCGTCTTGAATGACATTTGCGAAATAACTTATGAAAAACAATAAAAAGAACTGAATCTATTGCTGCTGAATAAAAATCTGTAATTTATTTCATGCAACATGAAATAAAATTGTATTTTTTTAAACCCGCGGCTTCGCGTTTGCTTCACGTCAAATATTTATGTCTTGAATCATCTGTTCTAAAATGTTCGGCGCATGTCTTAAATTTTAGAATCTTGCTACAACAGCGCCATCTTAATTCTTCCCTTTTTGACCATTTTTAATGCACGGAGTTATTTCTCCTTACCTCTACACTCCATACATTTTACCAATATATGGTTTTGCTGCATAAGCTATAACAATAAAAATCTAAGTGTCACAAATTTTTCAAACTTTTAAGAAACATATGTGGCTGACATTTACAGATTTCGTACCAGTTCTGTGCCTGAATAAAAATCTGTTAGTTTCCATAATTTATTTCAAATTCTATCAAATATGAGAACATATATAAATAAATAAAATAATCTGTCAAATATGAGAATATATAAATATATATAAAATATGAGTAATTATAGAAGGTTTGTGGAAACAAGACAATGATGAGCGGTTAACATCTATGCTTCCACTAAATAGAATCGGAAGGAAAAGTGGTCTCTGCCCAGGATGTCAGAAATGAATTTGCTAGCAACTTTTTAACAGAAACAGGGCGGTTGCCTTGGCAGGACAACTACTTTTAAAACTACTTTGGAAATCTTATTTAGCCGTATTCAACATCCCCTTTTAAATTTAAAATCCCTTTTAAGGTTTTATTTACAGTAAATTTTCATTAAAAATCTTAAAAATCGCTTTTAAGAGGTAATAGGGGATGTTGAATGGCAATGATATCTTTCTTTATAAAATAATAATTAAATAAAATTATTATGTAATAAAATTAAATAAAATTATAATTTTGATTTTGCTCATCTTTTAATCTAGAAACTTACCCCAATTTCCGTATCCTGAGTGGGACGGGGCCTATTTTTGTCTTTTAAGAACATTTTGCAGTGTACACACTTTCCGTGCCCATGCCCGAACGTGTTGAATCTTTTTGTACTCTCAAAAAATTGTCCAGGTGATATTTTTATTTTTCTCTCAACTTCCACCCCCTTCACTTCTAAACTAGTTGCAATATCATTCCAGGCATCATACTTTCTATTTCTGTTCTTATACCAATTATGCTTAGTGTCCCAAAGTTCGGGGTGGGCTTGATATTTTTCAATCAGATTTCTTTGTTTTATCATTGCTCCACTCCATACCAAATTTATTTTAGCAACAGAATCAAAAACAAACTTCTGGCCTTTTGAACTACACGAGTACAAATGGCAAAATGTACCCGATAAAGTTACTGATAGGGGTTGATTCGGTGGAGACGTCTTTCAACATGTTTGTAAACATTGTCGTCGACATGATTTTTTTATGTCCGCTCCTCAAACGAAACATGATAAATAATAAATAAATAAATAAATAAATAAATGCCTTTATTGTCAAAAAATTTTTCAATTTGTAGACAAAGGTAAACTAACAAACAAAGTAAAAAAAAACAAAAAAACAAGGTACACAAACAAACAAACAAAAGATAATACAAAACATTATACAAATAATATTGTCAGTCCAAAAATATTTAGCCAGTTTATAGCAAAATATCAATGACCTCTAAATAAATTAATTTCGATGTCATTAGTAAATATAGCAATAGCAAACATTAGACCAGTGTTTTCAAGATCAAATTCGATTTTCAATTCAAATATAATTCATTTACGGCGTAGAAAGCCTTGTCTAGTAAATAAAAGTTCAATGCTCTGCGAAATGAAAAAATGATGTTATGGATTTGATTTCAAATGGCATGTGATTGTGCATTTTTTTTTTTTTTTTTTTGTATAATATTGAACTTTAACTAACTTTCTAGGCGTGGGGTAGTTAGATAAAGATATTGCTCCGCGTTCCTGAGTGGATAAGTGTGAGTGGCCTTTCTTGAGAAGCTGATACATGTTTACGTATTAGGCAAACAGATTTAAATATAAATAAGGAAGGAAGAGTCAATATTTTTAATTCTTTAAAAAGCCCCGGCAATGAGTTCTGCTGTTTAGTGCCAGTGAATATCGAACAGCTCTCTTCTGGAGCTTGAAAATGCGGTCAAATTGAGCCGCACAACACGCACCCCAGAGGCGGAGGCATACCTAGGTGCGACTCAAAACCGTGCATAATAAACAGCTCTAGCCACTGACAAGTTAAGCCCCTTAGAAACAGACCTTAATGCAAACAGGCAGAGCTCAATTTTTTTCGACAAAGCTCGATATGGTATGTCCCCATTTTTCAGAGAATTGTCCACACAAGCCATAAGAATTTTACAGATTTTACGACGTCAATGGTGGTGTGGTTAAGTACAAAAGGCTGCAACGAGTTTTGATACGACAAAGTCTTAGTTTTAGAAATGTTGAGACTCAGGAGGTTCGAGTCGCAAGATTTAATGGTGATTTAATGGTGAATTTAATGGTGAATTTAATAAGTCATTTGATATAATCGACACCTATATATGATGCCCGAGATGTCCTTGTTACGCTCATGAAAATCGACCGAATCTGGCCTCTCAACAAGTATATAGGTGTTCGTCAGCAAAGACGAGTATTTTGCACCGAACTGTGTTTTATACTTTAGTAATGAGTGCGTTTAATCAAGAAACGAAGAAACATAAATATGAAGGCGCAGCACTGACGCGAATATTACTAAAAGGCCTTAGTGGTACTACGCCATTCTTTTAATTGTGCTTATTGCATTAGATGATCACGCTGTATTACACCTCCACATCGTGTGATCTCTCTCGTTAGGCTACAGCATTTATCACTTAAAACAACACATTTCGAGAGATGATCCCTGAACCCATAGTTATAGCTAAAGCAGCCTTGTATTAGAGTTAAGGCTCTTCTGAATATACCACATCGAATACGGCCGTGTAGAAAAAATAACAAGAAAATGTTGCTAGATAGGATACAATAGTGAATTATAAATCACTGCGTCTGGGAGTACTAAGCACTTAATCTTAAGAGTTAGATTACAATCACATAGCGTCATCTGTGATCTGGTGTTCGTAGCAACATAACCAATATTGTTACTATCACGTAAGTAGTATTTCGAGTACTTACAGATAGAAGGAACTTACGAGATCGCTATAACTTTACAACCAAACGCAGACTCACTCATCTATTGATCTTAGATAGTGTTGGAAGGAGTGCAATTAGGCGATAGTTAGAAGCTTAATCTTTGTCTCCTCCTTTGTGCAGGGGAATGATTATTGCGGTCTTAAGACATTTTGGAAAAATACCATTTTTGGAAAACGAATGTTTATTAAAGTTTGTTAGGTGCTTCAGAGTGCTTTCTGGCAGATTTGAAAACATTTTTAAGTCCTAGCCCGTCGGTCCCAAAAGAGGATTTATTTTTGATGTATTAATTGTACTGCCCCTGCGACAGCATTAAACATAAGGCGGCGATAAAAAATAAACTGTGTAAGTTTACACACAGAGATAAGAAAGTGGATCATCAGGAGCAAAATTGAGATAATAAAGTTAAGTTTTTAACGCATTACAGTTCTTACAAGTAATCGTTAAGGCTGGAAGCGAGGTGGAGCACACAAAGTCGGGAACATGAAACAAGTCCAACGA